TCTCCTTCTCCTTCTCCTTCTCCTTCTCCTTCTTCTTCTTCTTCTTCTTCTTCTTCTTCTTCTTCTTCTTCTTCTTCTTCTTCTTCTTCTTCTATACTTAACTTATCTAAGTAACATGTCTAAAAGTGTATAATATAAGCTTCCTTTCCCAGAAAACAAGGAAAGAGTCTGAATCAATAGAAAAACATTTCTTCTGAGTTAATTAGTACTAATAAGAAAAACAATATACTCTTTCTTCCCAGATAGGAGCAGGTATTAGAAAAATAATAGCAATAATGACAGATGACACTACAGCCAGGTTATCAGAGGGAGAGGTATACATACCTGAAACCCCAGAGATCTAGCAGCAGAGCAACAATGCTTCTAGAAAACAAAATGGATAAAGAGAAACAGGGATGTGCTGGTCTATTGAACTATAATTTCTTTAAAACCGTATTTACTAAAGAAACAAGCTCAATTAAGACATAGATTTTGCCTTAAGGAGATTACAGGTTAAGAATAGTAGGTTCTGGGGATTAGGCTTGGTGGTAAGAACTTGCCTAGTATTTTGAAAGCTGGGTTTGATCCCTGGAACTGGGGGAAAGAAAAGCAATGGAAAATTCTTGAATCCCATAAGAAGTGCTTACATATCGTTGCATTCATATTTTAGTGTACATCATAAAAGTCACATTTAGGATACTGCTTGTAATAGAGAAATATTCTTATTTGAGGAAAGAGTATGAAATGAAAACCATCTATTTAAAAATGGGAAAACAAATTCATAAAACAAGGTAAAAGAAGCAGAAAATAGCACAAAATGGTTTGTAAAATGCACACTTTTTGGAAGTATTGATCTTATCTATGTTCTTTATTTCCACAGCTTTTTACTTGAACAGATACAATGTTATTTTGCTGTATTTAATGAAACTTTCCACATGGCCTCAAAATATTTGGGTGTATTTCTACATAACTAATTCAAAATAAATCACTGAGGAAATGTGGGATATTTAGTGATTTAAATGGACAAAGTGATTCTTGAGGACAGAGTCAGCAAACTTTTCATGAAAAAGTATGACTCTTGAATTCTTAAAATATATTACTGGTTAAACAAGTAATTATTTTGGGGGGGATTTGAAGTAAATTGATTTAAATGATTATCAAAAGTAGTAAAACGTATCGCTTTTTATGCTAAATTATAAGGTTATCTTATTTAAGGTCATCTATTTTTCTACTTATTGTTTTCTATTAGTTAGCTAGCAGACAACTTATAAATATGTAATGGGATCAGCAAGCTATTCAAACTTTTCCTTTTACAATGAATTTCAAGATATGGAAATAACCTTTTGAATAACTCACTGTAGATCATCTAGGTATAATACATATTTAGAGTGTCTACAGAGGTACTGTTTTCTAAAATATCCGATAAACTAAAAATAATCTGCACATTACACAGTGAACAATTTTTAAATGCATTCTCATTTCGGTCCAGTCTTGCCTTCACCTCTGGGATGAAGTTAACACGGGATTTGAATGCACAGGCTCAGTTCCGTTCTCTCCTGCAACAATTCAAAGCCCTCTGAACTTTGTACCCAGTTTCCTATGGCATTCTACTTTATCCCTCTGTCCTAGAAAACAAGAGAACACAGTCCCAGCCCCACACTCACAGTCTCTGATCTTACCTGTGTGTATTCTTTTTGGCTTTCACCAGCTGGAGTGCAGGGTTGGTCTGGCTGCTAGCTGAGACCTATGATGAGCTGCCTTTACTAGCTTTTTACCTCCACAGTGACATTGGGAGGGGCCTGTTGATAGGTATCACTGTCTCTGGGACTGATCGCGGAGGACAGTCTATGATGTTACTCCGCATTCCTGTGTCAAAAGGTCTCACTGAAGTCAGGATCACTTGACACAGAAGTCAGGACTTTCTGTGTCAGTTTAGAGTAAAAAACAAAACAAAACAAAACAAAACAAAAAACAAAAACAAAACAAAAAACTAAACCTGTAAATGTCAGGAAACATTTTTTTCCTAAAAACTTGAATTTAGAGTGTTTGAGAAAGGTATAATCTTAGAATTTGATGAGCATGGGAAATAGTTAACAACTAAATTTTACAAATGATCGACACTAAAGATAGAGTTACAAATATGTTTTCTGCTGGAGTGATTTATATATTGTTATAGAATTAAAAAAAAAACTGCAACAATTTTTCATTATAGTAAAAGCATAAACACCAAAAAGTGCATAAGCTCTAGCCAGTACTTCCCACCATCCTGAGCATGTCCAGATTATCTAATTAATTATAATACATACCAATGCAGACAGTACTGAGCTAGTATTGAATACTAACACTACTCAAAATTAGCTAGATGAAATGTTTTAGAGATTTCTAGTTTCTTCTAAGGTAGACTTATCTTTGGCTTCGCCTATTTTTTGTTTGTTTGTTTGTTTGTTTTTCACCTCCCCCTGTATAAGAACTAATTGATTCTTTTCAGGCAATCTCTAATAGAAGTAAGAAGAAGAAGGAAGCACTGTAGAATTCTCTAGGCAGGTAGAGTTTCTCTTAAAAGTAGGCACAGGTCTTTAGACACCTTTATGAGCCATGCTTTGAGCTCACAGATATTGATTACTCTTTTAAATGATGCCCAGCTCAGTCTGTAACTACCAATATGTGTCATTTAACAGATGCATATTTAACGGAATTATTTTTATTAGAATTATTTTTATGTATTTGTATAGGTCTGTGAGAATATATGCCACATGTATGCAGTTTCCCGAGTAGGCCAGAAGAGGACATTGGATGCTCTGAGCTAGAATTATGGGACATTTTGAGCCATCTGACTTGATGACTGGGAACCAAACTTGGGTCTTCTGCAAGAGCAGCATGCACTCTTACCTGCTGAGGCACCTCTCCAACCACTTTTATTTTTCATTAGAAATATATTTTATTTTCTCTCAACTTCTCATTTTTTAAAAGACATATTTTAATATT